GAGGGAGAGGGAGAAGCAGGCTCCCCACTGACCTGGGAACCCAACATGGGACTCCATCCCAGGACTCTGGGATTATGACCTGAGCCAAACGCAGACGCTCAACCCACAGAGCCACCCACGTGCCCCTTTCCCTCTATTAATTTTAACAAATTGTTACCCTCCAGTGATGGCAAATGAGGTTTAATTTTTTTTCTCTTTCTCAATCCTTAAGAATTAATGTGTTTATGTGTTAATGTGTTTCAATCAATTACTGTTTTGTTCTCGTTGATTCTCATATTGTTTTAATTTGGCCTGTGGAGGCTCTTTCTAATAGAATCTAAGAGCCAGAAGGAATCTTAGAAATCAGGTACTCCAAATCCCTAAGTTTTATAGGTGAGGAAACTAAAGCACAGAAGTTGCTGACATCCTAATGTGTCACAGCTAATCAATAGCGGAGCTGGGATTAGGATCCAGATCTCCTGAAGCCTCAGCTAGTGCTTTTCCCACTGTTGTAAGAGAGATATCTGCTGTAAATCTTGCTTTCAACTTCTTACTAACGTTAAGCAAAATGAGAGAAAATGGCCCATATTTATAATCATACATTTTTTATTAAAATTTATTGTGTAGTCCAGTGGGTGGCATATTTAATAGATTCATTATTTGCTTTGTTTAGAAACAGCAAAGAAGCACCATTGTAGGCTGGGTATTGGGCCAGTCTGAGAGGTGAGTTTGCCTTGAACAGTTTGCTGTCTACAGGTTGAATTTGTCTTGCAGTCACACTTTGACCTGCAGAGTTTTGAGAACTTGGAATTCATTGCCAACATACAAAAGTAGTGATTTCGTGTACACATTTGAGTTGTCAGCTTCTCTAAAATACTTGCCGATATCTAGGAACGTTAGGTTCCCATTGTGATATAGCAACATTCAGTTGCAGTAGAAGAGCTTAAGTGGGCCTGCCCTTCCAGCTTGCCTCCCAGTCCCTTCCTAATGTGTCCTTTACATGTTCGTTGTTGGATGACAAATGTTGTGCTGCTTTCCTGCCTGACCTTGTAAGCATTTGAGATAGTGACCCCTTGGAGGGTGACCCCTTGATGTGAAGAATTCTAGGAAAATTCTTGCAATGAAGGTAATTACCATCAATAATGTAGGTAGGCACACACGAACTGCAAGAAAATAGTACAACTGACAGTTTTCCTGCTGGTAATAGGAGATCTTCAGCAGCTTAATCACAGAGAGTAAAACCAATATGTCAGCCAAAAAATTTTGAAATTTTCAAGATTGTTTGAAATAGCGGTTTTCTTCCTGTCATTAGTTGTAAACTTCACCTTAGTGTTAATTATGCTAATGCATATGTATATATAATTTTTATTATAATGAATCATATGAAAAATTTTCATTTTGTAGGTTGAAAATGGTCAAATATTGGTAATTTCATATGGTTCAACTTAGAAAAAGTAATTACATATATCTGGGTTGTGTCCCCCAAATCTTCCTTTCACAGGTATGGTACCCAAGCAGGTTTGAAGCTCACTGAGGTAGAAGAGGCTTACTCTTAAGTTAGAATTCCCATGGGAAATGGTTAGTGAATAAAGCAGACTTTGCAATAAAATTACAAGTAGAAGAAAGTGCTGTTTGTGTAGTAGAAGCAAGGACGAACAAGGAATTAGAGAAAGGGTGGATAGCGGGTGGTACGATCCTTAGGGAAAGCTTCAGAGCGAGAGTGGGTCCAGTGAGTATAACATCTTCATCTAGAGTCAAATATAAATTGTTTTAATTATTGCACTGTTTCATACCATAAGCACTAAGGATAACTAAGAGTTGGCTATTTACATGTTTATAACCTTGCAGCTACAGAAACTCAAGTTTAGTTGATCAGATCATGCTAATATGGTCACTGGCATACTTATAAATTTGCCTTCTCTTTGTATGTTTTCATGGCAATGTTTTTCAAACTGGATGGCAAGCCATTAATGAGTTGTGAAATTGACTTACCGCGTCAGAAATAGTATTTTTAAAAAAGTGAAGTGAAAATGTTTAAAATATATGAGTGTGTTGTACAGAGTAAGGGTAGTATTGTTTCAAGAAATTTTTATTTTAGTTTTAACTGTGTGTTTCTGTGTGTACATGTGAATATGCCAAGTTGAGATGCAAAATGTATTTCTTACTGTGGGTTGAAGAAAAAAGTTGAAAGCCATATTCTAGTTTGGTATTTTGAGTTTATGGTAGAGTGCTTGTTCACTATTAATAGTGAGGCTTTAAAATCAGAGTCCTGATTCTTATTTTGAATTTTCAAATCTGTAATTCTTTAATAATCTTGCTAGACATGCAACCAAACAGTCCTTTACCTGATTCCAGTGCATTTATTTGGGTTTCCATCCCTCTTCTTCGGTCCTTTGAACACTGCCGAATTGACCGATTCATTTTTTCCGCCCTCCCGATTTGTACTGCAGAGAGAAACTGACTGGCATGGGTAGATCAGTAGCCTTGGAAAGTGTGTACTTAGATTATTACCTTCTGCAATGATTGATAAACACTAAACATGTGGCTAAGTAGAGTGAAAAGGTGAACTACATGCATCAATACCAAATCCTCAGATTTATTACCAAAAACACACCTTATTTTTTGGTCTGTCTTCCAGATTGGGCTTTAGCAACAGTTCGTCAGTTTTTTCATTCAGTTCAACAGTCCATGTGTTGAGTGACTACTGTGAGCAAGGTATGGCCCACATAGTTGCTAAAGGTTATAGTCAATGGAAAGTGAGAAGAGAGGGGTGAGCTGCCTGGGCACTGGGTCATACAATTGTTTTGAGGGTTTTGAGTGGTGGCATAGTGAAGCAGACAGTGCCTGAGCAGAATAAACCACTGGTTCCTAAGCTCTTCTCGGATCTTTGCTAGGTGGTTGACCTTAATCAAGCAAGTTATTTAACTTTGATTCTCCACGTCCTTCAGTGTTAAATGGGGAAATCCTCACATAGGGTTATTTGGAGTATGACACATATTAATTCTCCTCCCCTCTTCTTTCATTTCTTTTTTTTTTTAAGATTTGTTTATTTGTTTTGAGAGAGCGCGTGTGTGCGCGCGTGTGTGTGCGCATGCCTGCACTAGCAGGTGTGTGTGCATGGGGGGGTGATGGAGGAGGGGTGGGGGGGAGGAGCAGAGAGGGGAGGGAGAGGAAGTGGGGCAGAGGGAGGGGGAAAGAATCTCAAGCTGACTCCACTCTGAGTGCAGAGCCTGACACAGGACTCTCTCTCAGGACCCTGAGATCATGACGCGAGCCTACATGGAGAGTCGGATGCTTAACCGACTGAGCCACCCGGGCGCCCCACTTCCCGAATTTCTTATACAGCTTTTCTTAACTGCCATTAAATACTGGTAGGGTCCCATGTTGAGGTGAAAAATGATTACTTTTCAAAGGAAAGCATTTTAGGGGCCGTTGTAGCTGCCTGAGAAGTGATGTCCAGTGCCTAGTTTTGGCATGAAGCGGCTAGTGAGGCAGGGAAGGATGGAAGAAGCAGAGCTGACTTCCAGCCTCTGAAATTTGCTTGCTAAACTTTGAATCAATAACTCTATGTTACTATAAATAGCATTCTTCCTGTTTCTTTGGTGTGCTTGTGCCTGGGTTATTTAGGATTATAATCTTGATTTGAGGAACCTCTGTACGTATTTTTTTGTCCCTAAATTATCTTTAAAGAATAGGTCTTCTGGGCGCTGCCATTTTTTGCAGCTTTTCTGGACCTCTTCTCTTTATTTGTAAAATGAGGGGCTGGGCTAGTTAGCTTCAGTTCCTTTAAGCTTTAACATGTTACTATTTCCAGGAGTTGGGTTTTCTGTTGTTCATTAAGTAATTTATATCCCTCAAAACATTGCTTTTGTTGCTGGCTGTTTTTCCCTCCAACAGTGTTTATCAAAGTTCCCCTGGAGGTTTTGTTGGAATTTTCTTCCTCTTAGGAAGGGAAGGGTTCCGCTGAAGACTAGGCACAGGCGGGTTTGGAGGACTCTCACAAAGGCACGCATGGCTCTGTGTCCTCTCTGCATACCTTTTACAGATGCTCTGGCTGGACAAACCCAACCTGGCTCCCTGGCTCTCCAGTCTCTGCTTTGGTTGCCTTTGTTGAGAAAACAATGTCTCTTACCCTGGAACCCTCCTCACAAGTAACTGCAGGGGCCAGCCACAGGTGCTTCTCATCTGGGAACTTGTCAAAATGCAACTCCCCACTCCCCACTCCCAGCAATTCTGATTTTTTTTTTTTAAAGATTTTATTTATTTATTCATGAGAGACGGAGAGAGAGGGAGAGAGAGACAGAAGCAGAGGGAGAAGCAGGCTCCCAAGGAGCAGGGAGCCCGATGCGGGACTCGATCCCAGGACCCTGGGATCATGACCTGAGCCGAAGGCAGACGCTTAACCATCTGAGCCACCCAGGCGCCCCCCAGCAATTCTGATTTTAATAAGCCCAGGATTCTGAATTTGAAACAAGTGTCCTTGTTGATTCTCATGCCAGGTAGGCTCTAAAGCCTGCACTTTGAGAACCTCTGGTTTATAGTATGCTGCCTCGGCTGTTGGAAAGATGAGCAGGGGAATTTAAACTTTATTTATGAACCGTCTTCCTCTGAGAATGGCAGGCCTACTTCTTTCTTGTTCATAATTGGGATGAATTTATGATTTTTATGGAAACCAGGTGATTTTCTGCCTGGTGGGCCTGTCTCTCAAGTCAGGCAAAACTCAGTGCTTGTCATTTTAAGACCACTTGCCAGAGGCCTTGTCAGAATTTGAATGTTATGCAATTTAACCCTTTTATGTTGGCTCCTGTCTTGTGGATTCAGTCTCTTAAGCTAAAAACAGATTAAGTTGGATTTTAAATATGTAAATATTTTGTGTTGTGTAAATGAGTTAATACTTTAAATGTGTCTCACTCATAGGGCATGAAGGTTTGGAGAAAAAAAATTTCCAGGAAAGAAATAAGTTTATTTTAGTAACTTGATTATTGCACTAACCCCTTTTCAATGTAATCATCACTACTCAGGGTGAAAAGTTTGGACCCTTCGCTGGAGAGAAGAGAATGCCTGAAGACTTGGATGAAAATATGGATTACAGGTTGATGTGGGAGGTGAGGATGTCATTGTTATTTTAAATATTTAATGTTTTTCTTTATACTATTTAGTGCGTTTACAAGGCTAAGTTAGTACATATTGATTCCAGTCGACTATTTAAACACTGGAATGTTTCAGTTTTAAGGGACCTGAGTAGCTTGAAAGTTTAGCATTAAAAAATATCCTGTTGAAATATCTTACGAGACAATTCTTCTAGAACTCAGAAGTTTATAGTTCATTGTTGAAAAAGGAGTTTCCATGCATAAGGATGTTTGGATTTTAAAATAAGCGTGTTTTTATACTGGATTAAGAATTCAATTTCTGTAAATGAAATTATACTTTTCCTTTAACTTTTATTTCCCAACTGTAGTTCTGATTTCTTAGAAACAGTTCTGAGCTCTTTGTTGGAATGAAAAATACCACTTTAAAATGTACCTTACCTATATTTCAAGAACTGTGACTTTGTAGACAGTCTTTTGCAATCTGAAATTTCCCTAATGCAGGGATCTGTATATGCAAATGTACATCTGTATGAGAATTTTCATCCTAGTTTATGCCAAGTATATTTGTTGCTGAGGGATAGAAATAGAGAAGTAAAGGCATAGAGATTGTTGAAACAAAAACTTGGAAAAAATTCAGTTCCAAGAATTGTATTTGGTGGGTTCCATGATGAGGGTGGGAGCTGAGTTCTGTGTAGGTGGGGCTGAGAGAGGTAGGATCAGTAAATCAGGAAGCGGTAGAATAAAGGGGTAGAGAGTTACACATAAAAAGCCTCTGAATGTGTATTTATCAGTTCAAGTCTGCAGAGCAACAGAACCAATAGGATGGAGATATATATATTTTTTCCAAAGAATTGGCTCACATGACTGTTGGGGTGGCAAGTTGGAATCTGTAGGGCAGGCTTACAGGCTGGCAACTCAGATAGGAGTTGACATTGCAGTCTTGAGGCAGAACATCTCTGGCAGGCCTCAGTTGGCAGTTAAGGCCTTTGACTGAGGATGAGGGCCGGCCATATGCTGAATTGGCCTTAATCTCCTTTACTTACAGTCAACTGACTGTAGGTGTTAACCATATCTGCAGAATACCTTCACAGCTACACTTAGGATAATATTTGATAAATACCTGTTTACTATAGCCTAGCCAGCTTGACACAGAGAGCCATCATAGTGTATTATCTGCAAACAAAATACATTTTTAATCATCATCCATATTGCTGAAACTGCTGGTGGTAGGGAACAGTGTTTGAGGAAGAGATTCTTGAAAGGTTTCTACAGTGCGGGTGATGGAAAATGGAAATTCATAATACAGTCCTCACTGGAAGTGGAAAATGTTACTGATTTGCCTAATTTAACGTGCTGTTTTGGTTGTTTATTTTATGAACGTGAACATATTTTCAGTGGCTTTCACTATTTTTCTATAAGGTCTTAATTTTCTCAGCAGTTATTTGTTTATTTTTTACTGTGAAGTTTTCAGAAATCAAACATCTATGTGACAAATAAAAAGATAACCTAAATAAGTCACAAATACACAAATACCAATTATTTAAGAGGTTGTTCCTGGCTTTTGATATTTGTTCTGAAAATTTTAGTGTGGTGGGTTAATGTTTTGCACAGCTGGTTATGAGGCATTGTGAAACAGATAATGATTGTAATTTTTTTAAAAATTTTTTATTGTTATGTTAATCACCATACATTACATCATTAGTTTTTGATGTAGTGTTCCATGATTCATTGTTTGCGTATAACACCCAGGGCTCCACGCAAAATGTGCCCTCTTTTTTTTATTTTTATTTTTTTAAAGATTTTATTTATTCATTTGAGACACAGAGATACTGAGAGAGAGAGAGAGCGTGAGCAGGGAGAGAGGCAGAGGGAGAGGGAGAAGCAGGCTCCCCGCTAAGCCAGGAGCGCGATATGGGGCTTGATCCCAGGACCCTGGGATCATGACCTGAGCCGAAGGCAGATGCTTAACCATCTGAGCCACCCAGGCGCCCCAAGAATGTGCTCTCTTTAATACCCATCACCAGGCTAACCCATCCCCCCACCCCCCTCCCCTCTAGAACCTTCAGTTTGTCTCTCAGAGTCCATCTTCTCTCATGGTTCGTCTCCCCCTCCGACTTACTCCCCTTCATTCTTCCCCTCCTGCTATCTTCTTCTTCTTTTTTTTTTCTTAACATATATTGCCATTATTTGTTTCAGAAGTACAGATCTGATGATTGTAATTTTTATTAAAGAAAAACTTGCCTATAGGAAACGTAAGCAGGCTGTTTCTGAACTGTTCTGTAGCTGACAGTGCAGCAGCAGATCATCTAGTTTTATATGACCTATTCCCATGGGCCTTTAACGTCTTTACATTAGTACTTGTTTCCACACACCCCTACCGCCTGTCCTCTCGCTCCACGGCCCAAAGAACTATTGATTTTATGTGTTGTAGGTTCAGGTAATGTTACATTCACTTAGTGATTGCTATTCTCTATTTTATTTTACTTCTTATTTAATATCTGGGTTTTGAATAAGTAATATTCTTATTGCTTAAAAAAATACTTTTTATGCAACTCAGGAGAGTATTGATGAAGAGTCTCCCCTTGATGAGCCTGCTCTTTTCACTTAAGACCTTTGACCCTTTAAACCCCTTAGTTCACGTGTCCTTCTACTCCTTCCTCTAGTTCTTCTTCCTCATAGTCGTCTGGTTTTCAGTTTGGATTGTCCGCCAGTCTTTTCTCTGCTGTGCTCTCTGGGGGGGCAGTGCAGGACAGGGGAACACCTCTCTCAGTGGTTTGCCTTTTGGGGGGGATTATTTAAAAAACAATCAACACCTTTTGAATTCCAAAAGTTTGCTGCCTGCTAGCTTTAGTACTATTAAGTACTGTTACATTAAGTTAACTGAATGAGCGGCTTCCCAGCCTTGAGTTATACTAGTGAAGTCCACTTTTGTTATTTAGCTTTGGAGGTTCCAGACTCAGAAGGAGCAGAGAGAAAGGAGAAAGACTCCTTCTGCAGTCTTCCCCTCATGGAGCCCTTTGAGTCCTCTCTGAGGGAGGTAGGGAGCTGCCCCTCTCCAGTGGGTACTTTGGGGCTGGTTATTTAAGTCATTTCTAATTTGGCCCATAGCTACAAATTTAACCCCCTGCAGTTCTTAGATAGGTTGTCCTTCTCAAGCCAAGAGTTAACTTAGTCTATGTGTGATTATGGAACATGAACCAGATCCTTAGGACAGTCTGGAAAATGGTGTCATGTGAGAGAGCATGTGGCATAGCTCTTCCTCAGTCTCTATTTGCACTTTGCTTATGGCCAACAGCTCTGGTGGACAGGGCCAGGAACCCCTAGGTGGCCATTTCATGCCAAAGAACTTGGAGGCACCAGTTAGGAATGAACCTACTGGTATGTGTGAGGCCCTGTGAGTTTGGGACAGGATATAAAGGGATCTAATGGGACAATTGATACTGTCTGCTGTGACCTTCTCCTCTCCCTCTAGAGGTACAGGTTGGAAATTTATTGATGCCCACTGCTTCAGAGAATTCACCAGCACCTCAGCCTTGTTCTGTGTGGGCCACCAGAATTTGAGATTCAGGTCTGAAGAGACGAGTCTCATCTGTCCTTCAGGCTTGTTGGTATCCTCAGATTTTTGCTTTTCTTTTGGAATTACGCTCATTGGTAGAAGATTCCTTTATTTCTTGGGCCTGAGGCCAATCATAAAGCTTGAGGTTGGAAACCTGTGCCTGATTGTAAATACTTCCCATGGATAATTTAGTGGCGTGAGCCCAGTTGTCTGTATTGTATTCTATTATGTAGAACAGTCTTTTTGTCTACTTTTTTCCAGGTCGTTTGGAGCTTGAGGTATATTTCCTTCAAGTCCGTACCTGCTCAAACTTGCTCCAAAACCCAAATCCATTACTGTACTGCGGCTAAAACTCTCAACCGTCCTTTGTTTTTAAATCTCCAAGAGCTTCTTTTTCTATAATACTTTCTTCAGTATTTCAAGGCACAGTTAACTCAAATTCCTCCTGTCTAGGCTCTGGGTCTTTATGCTTCCTGCACATACATACCTTTAAGTTTTGGCACCTATAGAATACGACACAGATTGTACTTTTTCCTCGCCCAGCCTATTATGCAGGTATTCCAAAGCGGCCGCTGGTGTCTGCTTGAATCCTCCAAACAGCTCTACTCTGTTTGCAGTGGGTCTTCCCTTGCTTTTCCAAGACATCCTTTTGTATCACCTGTAAGAAGTTTTTGTCTAGAAACTGGTCTGGTAAGTTGTCAAAACTTGGTATCATCCTGACATTTCCAGTGGAGTCATTCATTCCTAAACTTTGCATCTATTGTGAGATCACAAAGGTCTCAATCCCATCCCTCTCTCCCTCCCGCTCATGCTGGGTCCATGCGCCTCTCCATCTTTGAACAGTTCAGCAGGTGTAGTTGGGTATTTGGTGGTGGGATCTGATGCAGGTTGAGCAGAATACCATGGTATAATTTAGTAATATTGGATGGGCCTCTGTGGACAAAATGTTCTTGCTGTCAGCTAGTTAAGAACTCACATGCAGAGTCCCAAAGAACCAGGTAAAACCTGGAGAGTCAAGTGAAATATCTAAATTCTGAGTGTTGTTTTTACAGGAAAAAATAAAATCTCTCTTACTTAGATACATGTTGATTTCTTGCTATTAAACCTTAGAAGAAAAGTATCTACAACTTTGTAGAAAAGTAATTTCTGGACATTAAGAATAAAACAACACAAGACTTAAACTTTGCTTTTTAAAAAATCCATGCTCTTACTCTTAAGGAGCTTGTGGTCTTGTAAGGATTCCAGAACTAACACATTGTAGGGTGCATAAAGTACGATGAGAGAAATCAACTTTACCTGTATGATTGTGACTTAATGGCATTTAAAAAATCTTACATTTGTTTACTTTTTAAAATCTATTGACTTGAGGATTGATGAGCAAAAACTACATTTTTTTTTTTTTTTTTTTTACATCTGAGGCTAGTGGAATTACCAGGGCTGTTAGTCATTACATTCTGCT